ATGTCACAAAGTCTATTTCATCCAGTCAGTAGAGACACATTTAGCCAGTAGGAGCTGCCATTCAGTCAGTAGATTATGTCATTAAGTCAGTAAGTGATGTCATCCAGTCAGTAGATTATGTCATTCAGTCAGTAGATTATGTCATTCAGTCCGGAGGCGCTGCCATTCAGTCAGTAGGTGATGACATTTAGTCAGTAGATGATGTCATTAAGTCAGTAGGAGATGTCATTCAGTCAGTAGATTATGTCATTCAGTCAGTAGATTATGTCATTCAGTCCGGAGGTACAGCCATTCAGTCAGTAGGTGATGACATTTAGTCAGTAGATGATGTCATTAAGTCAGTAGGTGATGTCATTCAGTCAGTAGATTATGTCATTCAGTCAGTAGATTATGTCATTCAGTCCGGAGGCGCAGCCATTCAGTCAGTAGGTGATGACATTTAGTCAGTAGATGATGTCATTAAGTCAGTAGGTGATGTCATTCAGTCAGTAGATTATGTCATTCAGTCAGTAGATTATGTCATTCAGTCCGGAGGCGCAGCCATTCAGTCAGTAGGTGATGACATTTAGTCAGTAGATGATGTCATTAAGTCAGTAGGTGATGTCATTCAGTCAGTAGATTATGTCATTCAGTCAGTAGATTATGTCATTCAGTCCGGAGGCGCAGCCATTCAGTCAGTAGGTGATGACATTTAGTCAGTAGATGATGTCATTAAGTCAGTAGGTGATGTCATTCAGTCAGTAGGTGATGACATTTAGTCAGTAGGTGATGGCATTTAGTCAGTAGAGACTGCCATTCAGTCAGTAGGTGATGACATTTAGTCAGTAGATGATGGCATTCAGTCAGTAGGTGATGACATTTAGTCAGTAGATGATGTCATTAAGTCAGTAGGTGATGTCATTCAGTCAGTAGGTGATGACATTTAGTCAGTAGGTGATGGCATTTAGTCAGTAGAGACTGCCATTCAGTCAGTAGGTGATGACATTTAGTCAGTAGATGATGGCATTTAGTCAGTAGAGACTGCCATTCAGTCAGTAGGTGATGTCATTCAGTCAGTAGATTATGTCATTCAGTCAGTGGATCATGTCATTCAGTCAGTAGATTATGTCATTCAGTCCGGAGGCGCTGCCATTCAGTCAGTAGGTGATGACATTTAGTCAGTAGATTATATCATTCAGTCAGTAGTTCATGGCATCTGTCAGTAGAATCCTAACTACAGCTTGGGCCATGCACTTGGTCATATTCCAATAATACCAATAATCGACCAACCTATAGCCTTAGGGTTATAGGGAATTGTAGCTAGTTGTTTCATAGAAAGGAGTCTACTCACCCCGCCATTACATTGGTTGTGAATTGTTTTATTTATTTTTACTTAAAAGAGGTGTAAATCAAATGCATGTCTTCAAGTAGTACCTTTTTCATTTTGCCTAAGAGAGGTGTTCTCTGACAAATGTTTCTTTATTAATAATTATTAATAACATTGTTGGATGTCATCATGCATAGAAGGAAAATAGTGCTTGGACAAGACTATACAAGAAATCTTCTTTTTTTAGAAGTGTCTGACAATAATAATAATAATTTATTCACCATTATGCAAGAGGATATATAACTATAAAAGTCAAGGCGACATTTACATTAAATCATGAGGCGTTCCACATTAAATTAAAGTATGTAACTATATAAGACGAGCAGTAATGGTTGGGCAGCAGTATGTGAAGCTAGTCTAGTCTGCTCCCGAATACTGATGGAAATAAATAATCATTTTGGCGGGCGTTTTGTTTTGGATCCAGAATAACCAAGGGAAAATTAACCAAATGTAGTTCTTTTATGTGGTTAAGCAAAGTTTTCATTTGAGAAGGATCTAGTTTGGTATGAATGGTCAGGATCAAGGGAGGAGCGGTAAGTACTACCCCATGTGTAATATGTATAATACATTTCATCCATACTTTCAGATGCAGTTTGTGTTAACACCTAGAAATTTAATACCATTTTCACTTTTTCGCTTCTTCTCCAAACGAAATTATTTTGTAGATTTGTCGCACCCTAAGGCCCATTTTAACCGTGCTCCAGTTTACAAAGCGTTTGCATAGAGTTGTTAAATTTTTGTATCTGCTCATATCCACTACGAATGCTAGGATACAGGTTCCCATCTATTCCTTTTTCGAAGGCATCTAGTTTTAATTCAAGACGAGGTAGTAGTTTGCGTTTACGTTGTGCATATAATTTAAAGAACGCTATGGAAAAATCTTGTATGCGGGACTTGCATAATTCCTAAATCAAATTTTGTGCAGCATATTTTGTTTTGGTTTTATCAATAAGTTATCATTAAGTTTACATTTAATTTCCAAATCCCAGTCCCGGGAATCGCGTTGGAAAGTCTCAGAAGCAGTCTTACCAAGATTGGACTGAGGGTGTTTTTTTAAAGGGAATTGGAGGTGGTTTCCATTCAATGTGCGCCATATATCTATGACCTTGAGAGACGAACAGAAAGATATTAAATCCGAAATAAAGTTGTTTAGATGGTTACAAAACGCACCTCCTTTTTTTGTTTTATTAAGTATATAGTTGAAGTCCCGCCAATCACTAAGTTATGCAACTCGAACGATTGTATATAATGGCTTACGGTATCACACAGTCTGTCAGGTACATAGATATTTAGAAAATTAAAATCAGTATCAAACAACTTTAAAATTAATCAGAGGCGTTTTACCGTCGTATCTAACATCGGTAGAAATGGCGTTATAATGAAAATAATGGGAATATAGTATACATACGTCTTTTACTTGAACAATGACAGATATTATCAATACAAATTAAATAAATTAAATTAAATAATTAAAATCCTAGAAAACACGCTACACCCGCACGCATAACCTAATAACTATTCACCCACCTACAATGCAACAATTATACATAATCAGGAATTGTTGATGTCAAATACATGCACACATCGTTATTAAAAGCTGATTAATCATAAAATAAATCAGTCTGATGTTTATGATAACATATGATACGATATATAATACGGTTAAATCATATAAAACATGACATCTAAATAAAAACACAAACGGCGCGCCATAATCAACAAATTTTTCTCCTGCAATTCCCGTGCGAAAGAAATGGCAGTGACACAATTATGGTAATATCTAAAGCAATTACATCACAGCTGCATGAGATCATTATTATTTCATTACCTGAAAGCTTTAAACAAATTGCCCGGTGTTCTCTGATGTGACTTACATTATTTTATTCGGCATCAATACATGTGTTTGCTATATTAATATATGCCTATGAGAGCGCTATGGTTAAAGATGTTGAAATAATTTACCAAAGCTTAAGGTTTCCTTAAATACGAATCATAGGTCATTGTCAGTCAATCGCCGATTCCCATAAATCACAAAAGAGCTACGAGTTTATCTCAGCATTTCGCCACGTGGTTGCATGTATTATTATATTATTGCCGCTTGCTGTTTTGTTTCTCATAGGAAATCGTGCCTGCGTGTAGTAATAATAATAATAATATAAAACATCTCGTATACACTCCCATATATGGAAATGTCTACTAACAATAATTCTCATTGGCAATACGGGTGGCTGTGTTATTTAATCCCGTCCTGCAACTTAACTATGCGAGTCTGGCAACTTAAATAATAATTATGCATGTGCGGCGACTCGAACGCGTGCACGGTGACGTTTACTGTGGTTCTTTGTTACGAACCCTTCAAATATCGCCCGTCAACAACGATTACGACAAAAATAAGCAGGACAACGGACTTTCTATAATTTTTAAATTCACCAATCTAAGGCACTGTACTACAAGATATACCCTCGCTGTCAATCGAAAATGCAGGAATACACACTAGAAATATGCGCAAGAAAAAATTGTTACTGGCAGAGCCCATCGCAATTAGCACTAAATGTCCAGACAAATAATATGTAAAAGTGAAGTATATCTATAAATGGAACATTCTTCAAACATTGGTCACATTCCCACGTATTTTAATTAATTAATACATCACACAGTCAAAGTCAAGTATGAAATCGTTTTAAAACAACTTTAGATACGTATCTATCATCTATATGTTTACTCGTGATTTAATTCAACCTTACTGTATTTAAGTACATATACATCACCAGCAACTTGGTCCACCGATTTTTTATCAGGGCCACTAACTTTCAAGATTTGGTAGCCCTGGTGTCCACCACAAAATTTGTGGAAATTCATAACACTGTATATAAGCAATTTTCTGAATATTTTGATCGTAATTATTCAGTGTCCTCAATGGTACATGTGCGTTTAAACGTTTCTTTTAATTTTGGCTGCTGCGTTAGCGGTGAGTCGGTTTGTAAGTTGGACAGGGATATTAGGCGAAGTTGAAGTGCACGTTATTATACGCAGATATGTATAATAAAATTTAAAAATAATAAATCCGTTGCTCCGTGAAACCAAGTAGTCTATAGCCTATAAACAAATATATTGGTAATATGTGAGACATAACAGATACATTTTCAAAGAACTGTCCGGTGAACTTGACATCACCAAATTAACATGGTGCATAATGAGTTGGTGAGTGGTTATTATGATGTGTGGATTTAGAGTATGTATTTGTGGATTTTATTATTTAAATTATATTAATTTAGTATGAAATTATAGGATCTGTCATTGTTTAAATATAACAATTATTTTTGATATTTTTGGAAAATAATAATAGTAATAATTATTTATTTACTTATATTGCGCTATTTACAGTAATAACTGATCAACAGCGCATGACATAAAACTACAAACTATACCAAAGAATGAATAATTACAAATTATATGCTTTCTTGAACAAATAAGTTTTCAAATGTACCTTAAAATCATTAATATTGTTCCATTTTTTTAAATGTCTTGGTAGAGCGTTCCACAAACGTGGTCCGCATACAGCAAATGTTACTAAACGTGAAAATGGTACAGTAAGTAAGTTTGAAGATGACCTGAGTGTGTACAAAAGTCTCACATGTGGATGAAACACTTCGCTAATATATTTCGGGGACTGGCCGTTGAGGGCTTTGTCTACTAACAGCATTAATTTATATACAATACGATCCTTTACTGGAAGCCAGTGTAGAGAAATTAAAGCAGGTGTAATACGGTCATATTTTCTTTTCTTCAAAACAATCCTAGCTGCTGCATTCTGTACCCTCTGCAATTTAAATAATTGCACATTCGTTATACCATATAATAAACTATTGCAGTAATCAAGCCTTGATCCCACAAGAGCATGAACTATAATCTCGGTAGTTTTTGTTGAAAGATATTTTCTGATCTGGGAAATCCTATACAGATGATAAAATTATGATTTTGTTACCTGACTAACATGACTTACCATATTCAAATGTTTATCAAACATCACACCCAGATTACGTACATCATTTCTGACAAAAAATAAAGTATTATCAACTTTGAGGGAAATCAAATTTACTTTCTTAATTTGCTGAGGCATGCCAAAAACTAAAATATCTGTTTTCTGAGGATTTAGTTTTAGCTTATTGCAGTACATCCAATCTTTCAGTTCACTGACACAATCCTTAAGATTAGTCATAGCTATGTCACGATCATATACTGAGTTCGGTTGAAATGATATGTATAACTGGGTATCATCTGCATAGAGGTGATATGATAGTCCATGATTTTCTATAATACTACCAAGTGGGAAAGTATACATGCTAAACAAAAGCGGCCCGAGCACCCACCCCTGAGGAACACCATATTTTAACATATTCATTGGAGATGTTAGACCCTTGATCAAAACACACTGGTACCTC